ATTTCGTATAAACATAAAGAAATGCGGTATACAAAGAATGAGGGAGCCGATTCGACAGATCTTTACATGTTAGTCTCCGAGTGCGAAGAAGATTCATTTTTTTCAAAGTTCAAGCATGTTCCAGAATCATCTCAAAATAAGTACCCTGGGTTCCATCATATGCTATGTAATAGCGCAGCGCAGCCATGACGTCATAAAAACGAAGACAAAGGCGAAATTCGGCAAACAAACTTACAAGTTTACTTTCAGCAAATAATTTTCACAGCCGATCGCAGTTGATCTTAGTTTACATGGGTTATTGTTGTAACTTTAAGTAAAAATAATAAAATCGGTTCGTATAATCCTCGTWGCGGTTAAACAGAATGCAMTGTTTGTCCGAATCTTTAAGCTATTTTTAGAATCAGCGCGCTGCGCTATTGGCCCGCCGCCAAGCGTGCCAAGGTTTAAGGTTCCATACGTTTTCTCAGAATAAGATTATGAAGAAGACAAACAATGCATATCAGCTTTCTTTGAGGTTTTCCGAAATGATGACTCAAGTCTACCAAGTTATTACAAAGTTTCAACATTTGAAAGTGCGAAATCTGATTTGCAACGGAGCTAGATAGAAAACTGCCAATATAGCACGTTGCCCTGGAACAAAATAGAAATTCGTTTTTGGTGCTGACTATTTGCCTCATATTAAAGCCACAAATTGAAGATGGCAGATTAATCCGTTATATATAGAGGATACTTGTAGAAACGTATATTTAGTCGGACCGTGAGCAAACAGCAAGAAGAAACTTTATGAACCTCACGAACTCGTAGTTAATGCTGGGTTAGATCGGCTGCCGATAAAATCACGTCAGTAAGGTCTTTCATCTTTTCACGGTGTATAATTTACCTTTTTGTCATTACTGTTTCCGTAGAAACACCGACGCAGCCCACACTAGTTTTTAGCTAGTTATCTCTACCTACACTCATTAACATCCCAAAGCAATACAGCTCCAAATTAATAGATATTTTACCGCTCCTTTCTTATAAAGTTATGCCCTTACTTGCATATCTACGAATTGTTTGCTTTTGTATCTTACCCGCTTATCTGTGTTGCTTGTGGCATCCACGGGCTTCCAGCTAAGCGAGGCTCCTCTGAAGTGTGAACCAAAAGCGACTCCTGAAAACGCAAGTAAGAAACCGATAGAAAAGATTAAAGCCATGGATTTAGGTTTCCTCGGATCCAAATTGTAGACTCTGCATCTCTACTAAGTGTATTTGCTGCGTAGCACTCCCGTTTTTCTCGGAAATTGGAAACTAATAWTAGACTGTTTGATGATTGGAAAATTTCGAATGGACAAGGAAGTATAGTTGGAGTGGGGAACTTTTTTCAGATAAACATAGTTATTTTCTTCACTTTTAGAATTACCACAATTATTTATTCTGTAATTATCGAATGCTTTACATTCGAGGAAATGACTAGAGGCTAAAGGAACCGTAAGGTTTTCAAAGTTAGACCCTATGCAATTTAAGTTTGTGTATATTTTTTGCATACTAAAAAAAGAATGTTTGAAAATAGTTGGGAGTTTTCTTCATACTCTACTCCCAAACCCATTTCTGTGCCCAGCGATAGTACAACATCTTCATTTGACTGATGCTCTAAAAGCATCCTTGAGTCAATTCCCGATATCTCAACGCAGTCACGTCTCAAGTATTGCTCAAGGTCATCGATCGATTGCTTTGAGCTATCCATATCTTTTAGTAGATCACTAGTAGTTTTATCCAGATTACTAAGTTTTCCGTTAGTTCCTCGAACTTGTTTAAGGAGCTGGTCGCACTTTGTCGATAAGAAGTTATGTGACTTCTCTAACTCCATGAACTTACATTCATATTCTTGAATGTTAGCTTTGGCAGTTAACAATTCGGCATCAATTAAACGCTTAACCTCTTCGAGGGACACCATGATAATAATATAGTACAATAATAGACGAAAAAGAAGCTACTAAGTAGATAAATTGCAAGAAATTGGCAGACCTCGCAATATCTTGGCCGCCTTGCTTGGCGCCGTATGCAAATCCTTCTAGAAAGAAATGAAGGAAGGAAGGAAGGAAGGAAGAAAGGAAGAAAGGAACGAAGAAAGGAAGAAAGGAAGAAAGAAATATATATATATAATACCAATCTAAAAATATTTGATAATAATAAAAGCTCATTTATGACGTAATAAATATTGAATGACGTCACTTACAGARCACGCGCACAACGCGCAATAGACGTTTATGATGAATTTCAAAAATAKAATTCCGGGGAATCCAATGGACTAACCAAAGAAAAAGAAAAACAATACTGGAATGGCGTCTAAATACAGCGTTCCGGGAAAGGGAGGAATAAAGCTGATTAAGAAGAACAACTCGTGGGTACCGCAGCGGGAAAAGCGAAAGACGACACTGGAAGTACATGGCTACACCATATTGAGAAATTTAGGCGAAGGAGCGTTTGCGAAAGTTAAGCTTGCAAAGTCCAAGAAGCATAACCGCAATGTAGCTGTCAAGATTATCGACAAGCGTAAGGCTCCGAAAGACTACATTTGTAAATTCTTACCTCGCGAGATTCATATCATGCATCGCCTTAACCATCCTAACATAGTGAGTATTCATACTGAGGTCATATTCTCTTGAATGAGGTGGGCTGGAGTTTGTGTGGGATAGTTCCAACGACATTTCATTTACGTCTGCAAATCTAAAGATTTTAAGTTTAAAAAAATGAAATTTAGTATTCTCCATCTGTCGATTACTTGTTCTAATCCAAGTAATTAGAACTAGRCTATTTGACAAACCAATAATTTCAATTTAATTAGAAAGAATTTTGAATTATTTTGATTTCGCAAAGAACCGACTCCTGAATGGCTTTTGAATCCAACGTTGTCTTTTAATTGGTTGTTCTTCATTCTTGTCATGCTTTCCGATTGGCTCAATCACGCAGGCTTTAATAGGGCGTGTATACTTTTCGTATTCCACCTAGACAGGGAAGTACAATATAAGRAGCTATTCAGCGATGCACCTTCTGCCACCAAGTCCTCTACTACTGCACCGTACATCCGATCACACCGGCTTTGCTCGCCATCAATTATTCATGTTGGTACACTCTCTTCCCAGATAAAGCTGTACGAAGCGATCGAGACAGACACAAGAGTCTATCTAGTTATGGAGTTAGCTGAAGGCGGAGATCTCTTAGAATTCATCAACAACAAAAATGTTATCCCAGAGAACGAAGTTCGCGCYTTGTTTTGTCAATTCGCTGCTACCTTGGCGTATTGTCACAAAGAATCTGTGGTTCATCGCGATCTCAAGTGCGAAAATCTCTTACTTGATGAAAATGGGCGACTGAAAATAACAGGTTTGAACCGGTGTGGATTCCGAGGCGGAACCCCAACCACCACTTATTCTCTACACTCTTAATGATTTCTCTAAATATATCCCGCTCGTTTTAAAGTAATCTTCGTAAGGCTTTGAATATCGAACTTACGTTTAATTAGCTAGGGGCATGGGTGCGCGTTACCTCATATATTATGCTGTAACGAAGATGAGAATGACAGAATGGTATTTTAACAATAATGTTTATTTTTTCTTTTCTTGCCAAGCTTTCGGCCTTATTGGCCATCTTCAGGGCTACATGAAATAGCTTACGACTGTGTGCRGGCCAACTAAGTTACCACAGTCGCAACAGGGCAATACATTGACGCCAATCAGAGAATATCAGGAAAGATAYCGACCTATTTATTTGATTGACAGAATTGAATCCCAATTTCCCTGTCGCAACTGTTGTCTCGATCAGCGCGTAGCAATGAAAAGAGTTGTAATTTGTAGCCCTGAAGGTTGACCAATATGGCTGAAACCTTGGCAATAAAGTAAAATTATAAACGTAGTGGATATGAAATCTGGACTCAAATACATCCAACCTACAAGAATACACTTGAATTTATTACTAATAAAACTATTGCCGATTTTTCTCACAGATTTTGGGTTCGCTACAAATACTTTAAAGAGTCCCATCCTCGAGACATGTTGCGGGTCRTACGCCTACTGCTGTCCCGAGATTCTCCGCGGTCAGAAATACCATGGCCCAGTATCTGATGTGTGGAGTATGGGTGTGGTCCTCTATGCGATGGTTTCCTCAAGGTTACCCTTCAGTGATGATGATTTGCGATTCCTCATGAAGAATGAACCAAGGAAATTGAAATTCTCCAGGAGTACGAGTGCGGGTAGGGAAAGATAGAGATCTTTTAGCACACGTTCTTGCTAGTTACCGCACACCTCAAACTGTAGTTCGACGTCAAGCGTATTCATTCAAATTTTCGGCATTTAGCAAAGCGTCATAATCACAACATGCATCTAATTAACGTACTTCTCATGAACCATTTTGGTCTCAGTTTTTATGTTCTATATTTTTGAACCTAGCAATGATTTTACAATAGTCCCCTTCACAGTTACCTGCGCCATCTTGAAAGGTAGCCGTGCTCTTTGCATTGAAGCGAGACGAACGGTGAGCTTGCAATGATAGAGACATTTTTAACACCTTGGACAATTATTCACCTGTCTCTATCATTGCAAGCTCACCGTTCGTCTCGCATCGRTGCAAAGGCACGGCTACCTTTCAAGATGGCGCAGGGAACTGTGAAGGGGTCTATTGAGTGTACGCCTATTTCAAAAAGAAGTTGTCAGTCGAAGATCTGAAACCTTACACCGAGTAGCACGCTGCAAATCGTTAAAYAAGCACTTTACAACTTTTATTAGGTATCAATCAGGAAGGAAAATTACAGAAYCAACATGCTACCCAAAGAGGAAAGTGCGAACGGGACTCTAGGTCCCATGCTAGGCATTTCCTTTTGACTAACGATATAAATCAATAGAGAATTGTCTTGGAAAATTAATACAGTTATAGTAGTAAAAACTGTTAACTAGTGAACCGAGAACGGCCAAAAAAATAATCAATGGAGTTCAATTTTTAACGAACAAAAGTCCCCGAGGTTCAGTTTAGTATTATCGAGTACGATGACAAGGACACTTACGAACTAATGACCAAGTACATGTCAGATCAACATCAAATGTGTCCTCAAGCAATGAAAAGTACCTATGCCTTAGAAACRATTTAAATTGAGAGAGACTAGAAAATATATGCATAACCCAACATAAGAGCACAAAAATTCTGTTCAGTCTCAGATGACCGATCGGCAACCTTATTTGACTTTAGCTCCTATGTCAGGGTCCGAGGGTGAAGGTAAAGTAGGCATTATAAGTAGGCAAATTAATAGTGCAATTTCCTATCTCAATAGCTTGCAGAGAAGTGATACGAAGGATGTTGACCATTGACCACAACAAGCGACCAACGGCAGAGCAACTGCTAAGGGATCCTTGGTGTAAAGAAGAACTGTTGGAGAATCCTGATTTGTCGTACTTGGGACATAGAAAATCTCCATTGCCAGAGATGCATCCCCCACCCCCACCACCACCTCCTATAAGTGAATATGGTAAGATATGATTAATAGAAAGAAATTATCATGATGGGTGATAATGGTGATGAATGATGGATGATAATGGGTGCTGAAGATGATGAAGCTGAGGTTTGTTGAAGATGGTGGATGATAGATGGACGATAATGGGTGATGATGATGATGAAGCTGAGGGGTGTTGAAGATGGTGGATGAAGATGGATGATAATGGGTGATGATGAATGCCATGAAGCTGAGGGGTGTTGAAGATGGTGGATCCTATGATGGTGGATGATAGATGATGGATGGTGATGCATGATAAGTGATGACAATGGATGATGACGATGTATGATGACATTGAGTGATGATGYTAAATAATAAGCGATGCGGGGAAATGCTGATCTGGCAATATTGCATGTTTATCATAAAAAATTCGTTCTGTGTAACCATTGATGTTTTACGTTCTCTATCTCACTGTGACGACAAAAGTAACAAGCACAATTCTCTCATTTCCTTTCCCAAAACAGAAGAAGAAATCTTCCCAGAAGTCACGCCAGTTMGCGCCAAAATTGGCACCTCCAAAATTGTCACGTGTCTGACGTCCCCTGTGGTTTCTCTTCCGGTGACCATCAAATTTGACAAGGGACGAAGGCGTCACACAATCACTGCCCACAGTCACGATCACTCAAAAAGACGCGTTTCTCTCAGAGACGAACTTCTGCGTACGATGGCAGCCAAAGAAATGAGATCCAAGTCTTCCCAAATGATAGCCGAAGAAATGAAAAAATGCAAGTCATTGGAAAACGTCAGGAAAATGAACGCAATAAATCATGTTCGTCGAAGCTCTCTTGTTCACGATGTTCTCCACGTTGACCACGACGTTGCTAGAGAACGACGCCTGTCTTCCGTCAACCGTAAATCTTCTATCGTCTCTGACGTGACGTATCATCCACGTGATATTAGGATTTCGCCGCAACAACTTYTAGGTAAAAAACAGAGCAGAAAAGCTATTATCGATGAAGGTAATGTCGGAGGGAGATCGGAGAGAGAAAAAGAGCTCGCAACACTGAAGTTCTCCAAAGCGGGGACCGCCGCAAGAATGGCGGCACAGGAAACCCACAAGGAACATGAGAAAAACAAACGATCATCTTTAGCGTGTTTAGCAACGCTGATCGACGATAAGATGAACAAGCTTGAAAAATGGAGAGAAAAATGCAAGCGATTGCTGGACAAAAAAGTTGTTTTTGAAAAAAACCCAAAATTTTCCTTCAAGCTGCTTTCGCAACAGGAACAATAATATTCCACTGAGAAAATGTTTTTTTCAGGCGAATCAAGATCTGACAGTGTYGTGTCTTTGACATGAAATTCTCTCTCCCTGTAGATTTTTGCAGATCGATTCAGAAACTATGTAACTGAGATACTGCATGATAGATAAGGAAACACCAAAAGTTAGGCTTCTCTTTGCAGAAGAAGCAGACAAGTTGTATTCATCTGAACATCACTCATTTTTTCAAGTTCACCTTTGACATGCAGATTGTACTATAGAACCGTCATAAACAGCCATCAATAAAATCATTCATCCTATATCTTGATGTTTTTAGTGCCCTATAGATACAGGTGTAATGTTTCTAAACATTGCCGTAGTGATGTTAATGTGCCAACCATTTCAGCAATTAGGTTTTGTCACTCTGCTTTGTTAGATTGTCCMAAAGATTTCTAGTTGGCAATTTAAATAACAATAAACCAAAACAAATTTTCRTCATCGTATGCCCATCTATTTAAGAAGATACTACTTGGGCTACATTGGCTTTACTTTTCCCGTCCCTTTCCTCCCATATTTAGTTCTACAAAAAAAATTCAGAACCTTTTTTCAACTTATAAAAATCAAGTCATTAAAATGAAGAAATCCTACCACAGCATGCTTTACGACATGTCATGCTTTACAAATCCGTAACAACTAACCCTTTAGACTAGTTGCGAATTGGAAATTCTGGAAGTTAAAATGTTTTTTTTTTTGAAAAAAAACCCCAACATTTTGACATCCTGGATGAAATGAAGCTATAACACAATACAGTAATTAAAACTTCATTAAACCAATAAATACTTGATGTAGTTCTTCTTGGCCTTTCATTCAGCTGTTCATGTAGATCCTCATGTTGCGCTCCCAAACTTTTTCTTTGCTTTCTTTCAATCGTTTTTGCTTTTTTGACAAAGTTCTGTTTGTTTCCTTCCTTCYATCGTTTTTCTCTTTTTTCTTTATTTTTACAGCATCCTTATCATTTGGCCCAAAGTGAGTTACTCTGGCCTTGGAACTCATTTCATTCCCAAGACCATATCTGTCTCGTTTTAGTACTGTTTTGATAGGAAACTTCCTTCCTTCCCCTTCTGGTCCAAGCCCTGTCAAAAAAAAAAAAAAAAAACGATTTCAAATCTTTGCAGTCATAATTTTACATATTCATTTTATTAAATCAACCATATTTCAAACTTGCTGGATTATTTGGTGTTATGCTTGATAATTGGGGTATAGTAGGTCCTATGATTGAACTGTGTGGCACACCACACCACATCTCAGGATATGGTTTTGGCTATTTAAATRGTCAGTGTTAGCAGGAAATTCCAGTTTCACCTTAGATGGCCATGATAATTACAAACTAGGTTTTTGTCTGTAATCAAAGTTTTGCAAGACAAGATTAATTAATGAAATGAAGTGAAACAGACCAAATCTATTTCCTGTCTGCAACTTTTAATTTAACTTCCAAGGTCATTCACACGTCAAGGTAAAACAATGAAGACCTTGATTGAGTATTAAATTTAACACAGAAACACTTGATGAGGTTTTCCCCTCCACGATCATAATCAAACTGCAAGGGATGGATGTGACGTCATAGCTGCCATTTTAGTTTACTTTGACAAAAGATTTGGTCTTTGTGTCTTGTCATGTCAACAAACATGGCGATCATGCCTTTTGTTCTTTTATTTTCACGAGAAGGGATGCACGTCACTAATTAGATTGTGCTTATTGTAAGTGTTACCACTGTTTTTGTAAAATGGATGCATATTATACCTGTCTCCTCATCCCAGCCAGACTTGACCATTAATTTATACCCTGGATTATCTTCAGAGATCGAAAAATAAGGCCCTTTTGTTTTGTGCTGGCAGTTAAACTGATGCACTGTCGAGCTTTGGTGTCTTTTCTCATCTTCTGTGAACTCTTGTTTACAAACAGGACACCAAAACGGCTTGCCTACTGCACTCAAAGTCCTAGATTTAAGACTTCTTGGGATAGCTCTATTCAGTTCCCTTCCTTCAAGTAATGCTATGATGGCAGAATGGTTGGCARCTCTGGCAAGATCTAGTGCAGTTTTACCTTGAGAGTTAACCATTCCTTTCCATGAAGCGCCTTTGTCTAACAAGTACCTGACTACATTCGTGTGTCCACTGTGAGCCGCACACATTAATGCTGTCCATAAGTATTGATCCTTAACATCAATATCAATAGTAGTCTCTGACAACAACCTCTTCAAGTCTCTTAAATGACCCTCTTGGGCATATTGAAGGAACTTATTAACTAAACGAGAAGCGACAGAAGGACTGCCTTCTTTATCATTTTTYTCACTAGTAATTCTCTTTTTCGTCTTTATACGACTTTCACCGAAACTCGAACTACGTTTCCTAGAACTTCTTGTTGAAACGATAAAATTTGTTTCTTCATGATTAACTTGTTCGTGCCTTTTCGCTTTACTGTAAAAACCTTTTGTGCAGCTATCATTGTCATTCGATGATTTTATAACGCTRTTATAAAATTCCTTTGCCTCAATTCCTGACAGAGTTCCTTGTATGTCGTCRTTCTTCTTCTTTTGGTTTCCTTTGCCGAATTCCTGTGAAAAACTCGCTTTTGCTCGGACAAAATTAAGAAGTGGTTTATCAAAACTCATATCGACGCAGTACTTCGCAGATGGACTCTACTAAGCGTAGAAAAATAAGGATTTCTTTTGAGCAAAAATACGACAAGTATCCGCCATCTCAAAATGGCTGCTATTGAGCCGACTGTAAAGGTACCAGCGGTCTCTGAACGCAGATACACAGGAAACCCAATCGAAAAAGACCAAACTTAACAAACACCTAAAAAAATATAGACCCCTTTCAGAATTATCTTAGACTTCAGACTAACAGRAAATTATGCAAACAATCGCGCAAATTCCATCGAGAAAATGTGTGATCTCTTTTTGTATATTCCTGTTAGTCTCTCACTTTCAAGAACTATTTTTGAGAGTGACGTGATGAGGAGAGAGATGGGAATAGTATATGACTAAGGAGAATAAAACGCGGCTTGTTATGTGCACAGATGGWGGTAAGATAGAGTATTTTTAAACTTCATAGTGGCTTTTAAGTTGCAATCTTCCTGATTATCTTTATACTTTAAGACATGCGTGACGATGTGCGACATGGTTGGATCAATATCTTTACATAAACCCTACGTAAGTAACAACCACTTCAGTATTGAGTGCGGTWGTTTCCGAGTATTGCTCTCAACGGGATCTGTATTGAATTTCTGAAGCACTCTTAGAATATCTTATGCGTATGCAGTACATTTGCAAATAGACCCAAACCCTAATGACGTTTCATACTTGAACTCCAAACATCCTTTTCAAAATGTCTTTTCATATTCTTGTTAAAACTCCTTTGAGAATATCGAGACAATGGTGAAAATTAGTATATTAACAACAACAGCAACAACAACAAGCTACCGAAAGGGATTCTGGAAGTGTAGGTATGAAACGTCATCATGGAGGTCTAATAGACCAGCGCATGCGCAAGAGACCATGATCTCTTGACCAGCGTAACTAATATTTACGGTTACAAGGGCGGATCCAGGGTGTGGACTGGAGGACTAGTCACCCCCTCCCCCCTCCTTTTGGAGTTGGTAAACAATAAGAATAAAGAATAAGGTAAAGATCTAAAAAGGGCGCGGCATGTCAATGCCTTATTATAATCAAAACTGTCGTTTTAGGACTTAGTTTTATAATASAGTGCAAACAATTTATCCGTGAAATATTAGTAATACTAACTTACACTATTTTATGCTAATTCTATTGTTTTCTTTTGTTTAACTAGCGCTATTTTTAACAATTTAGTATTTAGTGTTTCACGGATATATGATTTGCACTCTAGCATAAACCCACAAACAAAATATGATCACTCCATGGGGAAACCATTATTTTGAGTTTAATATAGAACCCTTGCAGCACGTGGGAATGTAGCTCATCAATTTGGGGGACAATTCTCAGGAGATTGAGATTCTTTTCAGTTTTATCCTCCAAATTGAGCTGAAGAATTTGAMGTCACATGCAAGGGGTTTATAGCAATGTTACCYAACCCGGCAGTGGAGGATTTAGGGGGAGGTCACAGGGTGCCCGTGAACCCCCTTTCGCGATTGAAATTAGTTACTATATTGTCAATCGTAACCCCATCCCCCCCAACTTAAAATCGTAAAACCACCCATGCTAGCTCTCGTTAGGATACAACGTTTCGCTAATGATGTCCAAGTGTGTAAGAGAGTTTCGTTTGAAAATTCATATACCTTACATAAATATTTCCTTCAGCCTTTCAGTTATGYCTAGCTCAGCTCATGCATGATTGGCCACTTTGACAGTGGTTCAAAATGAAAGCGCAGCTTGGGGCAMGCCAAGGCCATTAGAGCTGATACTAAATGAAAGTATTTGAGAAAAAGGGGAGTGTAACTTTGCCGGAAGTATATTTTTAGACGGTGGATTTCTACGGGTTACTCACTTCAAGATAATAAAAAACGTGATGGAGAGGAGAAAAAATATCAACGACGCTACTTCGCGTAGAATGTAGGTCTATTTTCATGAACTGTGGGAAAACCAAACATGACTTTATCTCACGTTTGCAAAATCGTGTCACACGTTTTTAGGCACACTGTTTTGTTCAATGGTTTTCACAGCCGCCATTTTGGATAAATTTAACAAAATATTTGTCATTAGTCTCTTTCGTTATATCCTCCAACATGGTCGCCGTGTCTTTTGTCATTTCATTCTCTTGGAAATGATTTAAAACCAAATCTCAATGAAGAAGATGGTGTTGACGGCGATTGCCGTTCTGAAGGGCTGGGGTTGATGATGATGATGTTAAAGACAGTTTTGAAAAGCACCATCAATGATTCGGGTCTATCTTTACGTACAAATTTGTTCCTGATCAATGTGTCAAGCTGATCAGCAGTGCCGGCGGAACCAATGATAAGATCAGGAAGACGAAATCGATCATAATCTGCAATCGAACAACGATCTTGCAAATTCGATCAATTACAACTCKTGAAAAACTGGTTAAAAATAGCATCCACCTGTTCCCGTTTTTTTATATYTAAAAATATAAAGCTTTGTTTATATCGAAGACCGTACCCAATGGACGTCATAATATTAAACCAGCCGCCAGCAAGTTAATTATTACCATTACGTACGCGCTATTCACGCTTGACCAACACGAATATCCATGTGTTTTTTTTCCTGTTTTTTTGTTTTCCCTTCGGTAATATTAAAAGAGTGAAATGGAAATTGCTTCCTAGTAAGTTGTTTTCGCTAGGTATAAATCCCTAACTTGAATTTTCTTTTCTACGTACGCCAAAACGACAAAAAATATTAGATCTTTATTTGAATATTTAATTGTCGTTTTGGTGTACGTAGAAAAGATAATTCAATTTAGGGATTTATACCTAACGAAAACAACTTTAACTATGATTACACAATCTTTCGAAGTCTCGGATAAAACGACTTCAGAAATTGCTTCCACTTCTTTATTTAAAAAGAGTCTTGATTTAAGTGGAAAGTTATTTTTCCCACCTCTRTTTCTTTTGTTTTGTAAGATTTAAATAGACAAAAAATGAAGACAGCAAGAGAAAAATTAATGGCAAACAGAAATAAAAATAAAAATGTCAGAAAGCAATTGCCGCGCTGTACTAGAAGCTGTAGAAATGCAAAAATCACTGGGAATGCTCAATCTTTGAAATGTTTCAGATTAAGAGAATCGAACCAAGTCAGAATGACTTAACGTGCTACACTTTGCCGGTTTGACCCATTTTATTCTTGTGACGCTATTGTTTCATGAACACTATTTATAGTTAAAATGACATCGAAACGTCGTTATGTTTTCAAAACTCTTATCGCTCAATTTTATATTTAAAAATTCATAGTACTGCCTCTAGTTTAAGATTGTTTTTGACAAAATGAGTAAACAAATACACAGGGGGGAGGGGTAGTGTATAGGAAGCACATGGAACGAGTGTGTGGGCAACACGCCACTGAATGACAAGGGGATAGAGGAAGGACCAAACTTAGGAGACTTGAGCTGCTAAAATGGAAACCTAAAATCTTTGAAATGAGGTAAAACAAAAGAAAAAGAAAAGTGCTTCGCAAAGGCCTTGAATAATCAAAGCAAACTCAGTTTGGGCTCCCTGTGTCACTATTTTTTTGACCTAAGGTGTGGAAGTTAATGAGTGTGACGTCAAAGAATACTTGATAATTCAAGTCAAAATATAAATCAACTTCCTTGTGCGGGAGTAAGTAGAGATCGTCGGAGAAGCTCGTGTCAGAGACTGATGCAGCTTTGGTCTTCACAATCTCGTAATTTGTCCAGAAAAATGACGCAAGGCCACAAAAGCAAGCAAACCCTTCAAGTGTTGACTAAAAAATCATGCGGAAGGGTAGGAAAATAACTTGCCATAAGTACTTTTATAATACAGCTACAAAAGTCCACAATCGAACTGAAGCCTATTTATATCAGTCCGTAACAAGATTTCAGTTCATTTTAATAATATTTCTTTAATCCTTTTTGCTTTTAGTGGAAAACAAAGACAATCGTGCTGAAAAATATTGTGGAAAGCCAAAAAAGTGAGTGCCAATTGCAATCTTTAAATTTGTTTACAAGTAATTCTCTTTCCAAATCATTTATTCATTGACCAAGGTATTCAGAAATCAATTTTTATGACGCAGTAGACAGTCTCTCTCCTCCATACTATATCCTCATTCGGGGCATTATTATGATCATATTCGCATAGATTTGAGTATTTTTTCATCTCTGCTCTCTAATGAAAAGATATCTTATACAATTTATAATTACATCATGCTTRGGAATTCCCGGTTTCTGCAAGCTCCGGCTTGTTTAGCTGGTCTACTGGACCTCGTATTTTCGACACTCTTATTGTGACCTTCGTATATATGTCAATAATAATTCAATTTATAAGGTATGTTTGCAAGTATAAGTGTTACTTTCAAACACTTGCAGTTTGTTAGAACTGCACTGGATTTAGAGCTAGTCGGTCTGAGAAAGGAAATAACTGTCAACTATATTTTGTCGGTAGGAACGTCAGCCTTCAGCAAAACGAAATAAGTTTGAATCCTTTCAACCCTACTTTTTTGGTTTGTGTTGGAAATTCACGAAATAAATGCATATAATAAGAATCATCTTACTAGAGAGATATTATCTTACCAATTGGAACATACTTAACAGTTATTTCATAATGAGATAATCAAGCTATTAAGAGGAACAATAGATGTGTCTACTAATAAGTATAAAAATTATCACTAATGCAAGTTGAACTTGAGAGAAATCACTACACGTGGCTAGAAAAAAATCCATCTCAGGATTTATATATATGACTATTTTTCAAAAAAAGGTTGTCACTGCCAAAGGAGATACAAGTTATCAAGGTTTTGGTTTTATAAACTACAAACAACACTGGATATTTCATTACTTTAAACTTCAGCTTTTCTTGATTATTATAATAATAACAATATTAATATAAGAAGTCAAGAAGAAACATAAGTCATCTATGTATTCTTGGATCATGGAATGAACTATTTCTGTTTGCTATATATCACCTATGTCACCAATAACAATTTTTGAAATAGTATACATTATCTCCCATTCTTTTCTTTTTATCTATCTTTCTTTCTCTATCTAATCTATTTATAAGGCAGCTTATTCGCTGCTAAAATATGAATTGCTTTGGAATACACAGTTCTAACACTAGCACTTGTTTAAACCATCCTCTCTTATAAACAATTTATTTATTTTTTTGTAAAACATCTTCAGAGGAATAAAGGCTAAAATAACTGGGCAAAGCAACTTTATTTCATGTAAGGGATAATATTTATTTAACTAGTAATAAAAATTAGGTAGAAGTGTCAGTTCATAGCTAGAGAATCAATCATTAAAGRGGAAATGTTGTTCCCTTCGGTCTTAAGTTGGTCCATATTCAAAACCTTTGGCACTGGTATGGACCATTTTACCTGACCAGTAAATAACATATAATCATATTGAAAAGGTTGTATTTTTTTGTTTATTCAGCAGGAGAGCTTTACATATACCACCCTTTGCAGGCAAAAGCATTCCGCAAGTTCTACCCAGGAAATGGGACTGTTATCCACATTTCGCCTCACAGCCATGCGGTAATTCGAGGTTTGTCCCAGGATGGCATGGAAAACGTTATGTGCTTGTTGAAATTGCAAGAGAATGAAAAAGATGATTTGCATTGCCAATTTTTCTTTGCGTCTACTGAACAAAAGGTTTCTGATTTTTGCAAATTAGGGGATACTATTCAAGAGCTATGCGAAGGTATGAAGTAGTTCCTGTTTATCATTTTCATGCATGAAAGCCTGTAAGTTAATGATTTTCAGTCAATAAGGAAATAACAGCACTGCGTTGAGGATTTTTTTTTTTCAAGTTTGCTTGAGTGATTTTAAAACTTTAGCCCCATATTAAATTGGACTTAATGTTTTCATACATATTGTGTATAATATATCAAGTCTAACCTAGACATCATTTCATCATCTACCCCTTGATAGACTCCCTGAATTTTATTCACATTTCCAAGAGCACTCAAAAACTCTTGTCAATGAATTTTACAATTTTAGCGAAACTCCTTGAAATTCTAATTTAATCATTATTTGCATGGCTCAGAAATAGATCTAGTCAACCTAAAAACATTTAAATGTTTCCATATCGATCAGCCTACAATTATGCGCCAAATAGGATATCAACGAGCCAAGCGTTACTTCCCTCTTACGAGGGATACTCTAAATCAAACGACTCTGAAAGTCAGCCATGTGCAACCACCGTGTAAAACCATGGCTTAGTTTGCTGAACATACTCCTTGAAAATCATTTTTTGGTCCTTGTATACTCCTTGAATATAGTCCTTGAATTCTAAGTTGATACCTCAGCACAAACCCTCTAAAAAATAGGTTTAACTACCACCAATAGTAGTCTTAACTTATGCATACATGCCAATCATGATACAATACAATACTATAATCTTTATTTAGAGAGGTTAGCACTTACCAGTACATAAAAATAATTGATCAACTAGTGGCGCTCATACATATAATCAATATATAAAGTATCTGAAAATGATAAAATAACACCTAATACTAAAAGCTATAAAACAATATCTAATTACTAATCTTATTATACAAAATTTGAATGCCCTAATGAAACAAATTCTAAGAACAAATAATGAACAAATAATAAACAGAAAGACAAAACTCTTCACATTTCTGTCATGAGCTTAAGTTATTGATTTTTTTTTTTTTTGCTTTTTCAGTGAGCACATTTGCGGTTGATGTGCTATCAACTAATGGCAGGATTACCCCAGGTCCAGCCTATCTTCACTTTAGCAAAAACAGAGTGTTTCTATCTTCAAAAATACCCACCATTACAATCCTGAAAGAATGGCAGTTTCGTTCACTCCAAAATTTTCATTTCGAGGTGTTAGGAATTCACATTTATGACACAGTGGACCATTCACAAGAGGAAGTCTTTGTTTCCTGCAGGTCAAATAAGGATAATCGTAGCATTCAACAGATMATTTCATCACAATGTCCTGGAATGCCTACCATGCCTCAATCAGTTTTTCAGAGAGAGCAAAATGAGCTGCCAATAATGTTACCACCATCACCAACATCATCTACAAACAATTCTGATTCATTATCATCATGCTTATCAGATACGGAATTGCAGACAATACTGGAGGGCCCAGATAACAATGATTGTCAACTTAAAAAGCTTAGTAAAAGCACCTCTTCAAATGAATTACAAAAATCACCTCTCAAACAAACTCAAAGAAGCCAACCTGTTATCAAAAAGGCAATTCAAAGTCCTGGACATTCCGTTAAAGAACATGTTGTTATTCGTTTTCCAACTCAAAAAAGGAGCAAAAGCATATCAGATTTGAGATTAAGACCACTCAATGAAAAAGAACAAGTAACACTGCAACCGAGAGCTTTCTCTCTTGATAGCGACCAAGCATTTACCCTTAAACAGAAATCTAAAGCTAATGGTGAATGGATTAAAAAAGATCAGGGTCTGGAAGAAAGTGTAACAGAAAGTAACTGTGACGGTAATAGTAATGGAGAGAATACAGGCCTGGAAACTGCACTTGACATGAGGCAGAAAGAAAGTGATACTCATAGTGCACAACCACAGGCATTAACACTAAGGGAGCCCAACACAAACAAACCAGACTGTTCACCTCACTATGAAAACTTTGAATCCAGACCCAATTGTTACATGTACTGGAATACATCCTTTCCAGACGATGCACCTGAAGTGCCGAAAACCTATGTTAATGTCTTTTGTGGTAGTAGTATCAAGTGTTGTTATGAGAACTGGCACAGTGGTGTGTTTGATCATGAGTTTAATTACTCATCTATTGATGAACTGTTTGCTGAGCCTCCTCCTTTGCCTCAACCAAGGCGACCACCACCTAGGTTACCGCCTAGAGTGAATAAAGACAGCCATAGGGAGTTGTATCCAGGTAGACGATTCAGGAACAAGGTGTTTGCTCCAGAGGTGCCACAACGGCCGCCGAAACGACCACCAAAGTCTTCAAATCTTTCTGTAGAGATCAAACCAAATACAATTCAATCTGACATATCGAGCACAGCTGAAGTCCAAGGAGCACCAAAAATACAAGTAGCTCTGTTTGCTTCTCCACCCGTTAGTGGCCTGGTTTGGTTCTTGCGTGTAGCATTTATGCATCAGGATGAAAGCGACACAACTTTTAAGGTATGCTAATGACTTCTGAAAGTAACTGCTGTCCAATGTCGAGCCAGAATTGGAACTTGTCCAGTTAAATATTTGCATTGCTGGTCGTTTTGACCAAGGACGTTGAGCCAAAAACAAGTTACAGGACTGGTATGGCAGAGCTAAAATTAATCTGGCCGATCATGGTGACTGACCAGCATCCCTTATCTTAGGCCCCGACACTCACTGATACCATCTTTCTATGAGATTTAATTGTATGATCAAGTGAGAATACTTTATTTAGTCATTCTGTTTTCATATTGACAGCGAGTGAAAGGGGTTGAAGAAGCAAGCAAACACAAGTTAATAAAAAGTGAGCTTTTGGAGGTTTTTGCTGACATCAATGTTGCAATGAATGTACAAACTACAGGATTTGACCTCCTTAATGACTCTCAACAGGTATGAATCGGTTTTATAGTTTGATATCAAATATAATTACTGTAGTTAAAGTGCCCCTAATGCCCGAGACAAACTTTTAGTATTGATTCTACATGAAGTGAATAGTTAAATGGTAAAACATTTTCATATGATTTGAGCGATGCATCTTGGAAGATATCAAGGTTTATACTTTTGGCTGTGACGTCATTTAGGTATTGTGTAGTTCCAGAAATCATCCATACCCACCCCACAGAGGAATTTGGAATTTCTGAAGAGTAGGGGGGTCAGAGAAAGAACAAGAATTACAGAGTTTGTATGGAAGAAAACTGGAATTTCYGGGGGGTAGGGGGGTGTCATAAAAAAATTTCTCCATGAGGGGGGTATGGATGATTTTTGGAACTACACATTAAATTAAAAATACAAATATAAACTTGTTCAAGCAAAAAGTATTTAATAAATATCAAAATCATAATCATGGTTTACACAATGTTTAATGTAAATTTGGTGTCTCATAATGCCTGTGTTTAGTACTACAGGTTAAGACAAATTCGTCCAAATACCCAGATGAGGTCACAGGCAAAAGTGTAAACCTTTATAACTTAAAGACGCAACGCTTATCATTTCATCATTCAACTATTCACTTCATGTAGAATCAATAATAATAATAATATCATAATAATAGTAATGTTTTATAATAATATTTTATTTTTTGTAGCGTCAATTCCAAGAGTTCAACAACACTTCACAATTTTGTATTGTCCCAGGCATTAGGGGCACTTTAAGTCTCAATATGCTAGTTTTATTATAATCAAACAACTCACTCAAAAAGGTTAAGGGTTAAAGTTGCTGCAAAAACTATTATTATCAGGCATTAGGTGAACTTTTCTTACATTCAATTCACATTTTCCAGGATAGACAACTACTATTAATGATAGAAGCTTTGCACCATCACATGATGGCAGCCATGCCAAAAGGCACAACAAATGAGTCCTTTTTTTTTTGAGAAACTGAAATCTTTCTCACATGTAAATCAGATTAGACCAGATTCAATACTGCCCCTGCCTTCAGTCATGGCTGCCACATGATGGTGCAACAATTGGATTTTAGAGATAAGGTTTTCAGTTCATCACATTTCCTGAGGGGAAACTTTGAGCCAATCTTGTACTTTTCTAAATATATTTCTTGGTTGATATGGCAGGAAGTCGAGAGCAGTGACATTGACAACCTCAGAAAAGGAGACTGGTTTGTGATTGAGTTTCGCATCAAGCAATCTGACCACACCCAAGTTCAGTTTGATGGAAGCTTTTTAGTAGAGCCAAAAGCAATAAAGTCCTGTAGGAGAACATGCAAGATTTCCTTTGGCATCAGTGAAAACTTCCAGACAAAGGTAAGCTTATGGTACAGCTTATTTCATTTTCTTACATCATGATAACTATGTGTATCTAATTATACGATGACTATTTAATTAAATTACGCTCTTCTAAAAAGATATTGTCTTAACTGCTATAGGTTGAAGAAGCTTATTGTTTGTTATTTGTTATCTTAGTCTATAGCCTGCATGGGGTTCATGGAAATTAGATTGTGTATCTATTCTGGGGCTGTGCCATTTATGGCCTCATAAGTCATAAGAATGATTTTAAAAACAATTCTGTCATGTTGTGTCTTGTAACTGTAATTATAGTACACTCAACAAAATTACTCAACTCGGATTGGTCGAGAGGAGTACAATCATAGCGTTAATTGTACTCCGTAGGAGTACCGAGTCCCTATGGCAACACAGCCAAAACAATGTCAAAACAATTACTTTCTATCATTTTGTATTTAAAAAACAYATAAATAAAATTTTAAAGCCGTAAGAACTGATCTTTTTTATGCATTTCAGTTGCGCGATGGACTGAAAATCGGCCGCAAAATAGACAAAGATGAATGGCGTCGCTTCTCATTTTTTACTGAAATTTTGTTGAGTGAACTATAAACAAAAAATCACACGATCTTCTCGYACAATTTGGAATTAATAGACACTCATAGCTACGGAAATTATTAGACGAAAAGCGCCTGCTTGTTCATCTTACCAAACTTTATTGCATAACCTTATACAATCAACGAACCACTGTGTTCATATGTTRCGTTGGTGAATGGCGGTTTTCTACATAAACAATAAAGTTCCTAAATCAGTTGCTTACGARTGCTATAAATTACCAACGATATAAACTTACCGAACTATTTGGGAATTCTAGCTACCAATAAACACAGAAAACAACAAGCTTTCTCGCACTCCATGTGCTTGACCGCTACCCTTTTCTCACATGCCATGTACTTATCATGTGACGTGCCTTACCATTACSTCATAATATACCTATGGTAGCCACAACGTTCTTTAATTGCACGCTCGTGCAATTACAAGAACTTTCAAAACATTACTCGTGTCTATTAATTTCCAAATTGTACTCGAGATCGTGCGATTTCCTATACTAATAACGTTATTTTTTACATGTTATTACCAGCTCAACAATCAAACAAAAGCAAACAAATATTAATATAATTAAATTTTTTTTCTAGCCAACACTGTCATCTACTGAAACACCACCAACATCCAAGCCCTTAAAGATCAACTTCATTCAATACGAAAAATTGTGCAAAGCATTAGACCCAATTACGAGTTCTTCACAGGACTGGAGACACATGGCTAATGCATTAGGTTTCACACGAGAAGAAATAGATTTGTTAGTCTCAAAGTACCACAGAAATGTTCATTTCTCTCCGACAGATGAAATACTACAATCATGGGAGCAAAGAGATCCGAACTGCTCCCTACAAAGACTAGTTAATATTTTACGAGAACTTGAAAGATTGGACATAGTACAGGACTTGGGGTACTGTATTGAGCCTGAAGAAAAGTTTAATGATGGATTTAAGAAAATCTAAAGTTAGTTACACGTCTAAAATTAATATTTTCTTTGGTTTAAAAAAGTTTTTTTTCAAAATGAGCAAATGTCTTGTCTATAATCTTGTTCAAAATTTTGAAAAATCTTTTTCTCCAAAGTTTTTGTGCATAAGAGTTTGACATTAAATTAGTAGATATCAGAGTTACACACTATTGACTTCAAACAATTTATTGCTTCATTTAGGGTCAATAATATGTTAAACTGACCCAAATGCCTTGACAAAAAAAATGTTCATGAAGCTCAATGTATAACACGTATCATTCTAAATACATAATACTAAAACTAAAAATCAAAAAAGTCTTAAAGCGCTACTCTGACGAAAATCGCTCAAACTTGGATTCAGCTGAAACTTCCTAAGAATACTTTTTAAAGGTCCAATAATCACTGTATGAAGTGTTTTCTCGATATTATCGCTCCATACATTTCTTTGTAATTYATGATCAAAATATCATTAGTAAAGGGAGAAAGAAATACCCAAACACCCCCCGAATATAAATTATAGTCACGAGTAATGTGAAATAAGCACATTAGCCGCCCTTTGAGCTTCATAGGAATAAAATAAATTAAGGATTTATATACAAAGAAATATATGTAGCAATGTTCAATGTTGAGTGTACAGTGTATGATGTCACAGACTCCAAAAAATAATCGTAAAAATATCATACTTACGTCCTGAATATCGAGAAAACACTTCATACAGTGATTATTGGACCTTTAGAGAGTATTCTTAGGAAGTTTCAGCTGAATCCAAGTTTGAGYGATTTTCATCAGAGTAGCACTTTAAGAATTGAAGGAAGAATTTACAGTAATATTTTAAAATATTTGCATCAAAATATGCATGTAATAGACATGTCATATTGCAATAATTAAAATGCAATAAAGTTTAGAACATTAAGTCTGCAGATCTGCGCAAATGAATATGTAYATAACTGCTCAGGTCATTGAAAAATTGCATCAAAACAAGATGGAATTTTTTTATCTAAKTTTTAGATGTCAAGAACTAGTAAGGAAAAACTACATTGTACAGTTAGTAGGCGTTTGTAATGCAAAGCCATGTAGTTTTTGAAAGTAGTTCACTGATATTCAGTCAGCCTCAGTAATTGTAATACAGTGTTATTACTTTAGGTAGGAGTAGAACTATGCTCAGAAATAAAAGACCAGACTCTTGGAACTGAACTCAGAATTATTTACTGTGGGAGGGGAAGGAGGGGGGGGAAGGACCAGACTCTTGGAACTGAGGAAAGACTGAGGAAAGACCAGACTCTTGGAACTGAACTCAGAATTATTTACTGTGGGAGGGGAAGGAGGGGGGGAAGGAGGGGGTGGTGAAGGAGAGGGGGGAGGGGAAGTAGAGGGGGAGGGGAAGTAGAGGGGGAGGGGAAGGAGGGGGGGTTGTTGGGACTACCATATAAAGGTTGGCAACCACCCTCACAGGAATGACAATAGCCCACCCTCAATACTTTTAGTCCAATTTAATTCATTTTATAACACCTGGCCTACTGTATAACCTCTTTCTCATACAAATCTTGCTCTTCATCGCAGGAATATGAGATTCATTTTACAATCCAATACAGTACGTTATCATAAATGTGTACTCTGATTGGCTAGTGATGATATAATATAGGAGAGAGTGGTTCACATTGAATCAGACTCATGAAAAACCAAAGTAGGCTGAATTAAATTTTGCATAATTAAATCTTTTAAAAAGATAATGATAAATGTGAAAAATGCTTAAAAATAAACATAGAAAAACAAGTACTTATATATATATCATGTCCCCAGAAAAAAAAAGATTAAAATTGAGGAATTTTAAAATTGCATGAAAACAAAAAAAGCCTGYGCTATTGTCCTGTTGTTACACTTATTAAGTCATAAAAACCATGTAAATAAGTCTATTTTCAATATTTTTGCCAGGTATAAGTATAAGTATAATTCATTGTCTGACTTGGAAATTCCACAGAATTTCACTTAAAAATCTGATATCGCAACCATCCCTTGCGATTGGTGCAATGTTGGTTTTCTAACAAAACTCAACGCAGCACCCTTGTCATCAACTTTATGTGGCCCACACCTTAACCTCCACATAATGATAAAACAAATTTCTTTACAGAAATTAAGATTTATTTATAATTTAACACAGACTATTATTAGTTTACCAGTCAGATATGTGTGGATTGTAAGCACTTGTAGACCTGTAAATTAGTGTTATACTCTCTCGGCAACCCATATTGCTAGATTGCAGCCAGTTTGAATTGTTTTCTTTAATATGCCGTACATTGGTGCCTGTTTGATGAGAAAAATAACAGCAATGGTTAGTATTTTCTYTTTTAGTTTTCTACATTATTTTTTTGAATCTGCAGACAGCTAGACTAAAGTCCAACATCAAACTTTGTACGAACCATGCCTAGGGTCAAGGTCAAATGTTTATTTATTTATTTATTTATTTATTCACATTTAACTTTATCCATTGCAATAATTATCTAAGTTCCTAAGTTATCATGGAAGGGGTAAGCACAACAGAGCTTGGCTCCAAATTAAGTGCACCCTAACAAAAATTTAAATTATAACGACAACAAAATACAAATGATGATAAACTCTAAGTGAAAAAAATCGAGTGAAGATTTACCAATTATACTTAGATGATAGTAGCTAATTTAAAGGCTAAGAGTATGGCAAAAAGTAGTCTCCGATCTTATAATTGAACTTCACGAGCCAAAACTAATGACACTTATTATCCATTGTTCAATCAATGCATGTTAGGGTTAGGGGGCTGGTAGATTAAGGAATGATACAATTAAGGGATGGAATGTAAGTGATGGAAGGATGGAATGAAATGAGATGAAATGATAATGGRATAGGGATGAATGGATGAATAAATAGATGGAATAGGTATGATTTGGTATTAAGGAATGATGCACTGGATAGACGGAAGGCTAGGGAGGCATGGGATGGGATGTGGATGGAATAGGATGGATGGATAGATGAATTATTAGATGAAACAGGTTTAATAATTACTCACCTGTTCTGCACCATACTCCRTACCCTTGTCTAAATGCTCCAGTTCATTATCTCTGAATACCTGTATAGTCTTAAACAAGAAAGGGCAAAAATAAATCAATAGACCAACTTTTTTCGAATGTGTTAAAATAACACAGAGTTCCTGGCCTATCTCCAGTATAATATAATTTATACAGCACAGCTGACATCACATTACCAAAAAACAAGACCAGCTTTACAATCCATAGAATGAGTCACAATACATACAGTATAACAAAAGACCAGTTTATTATATTACATCAGAGATAACTTGAGTTCCTAGATTATACTGTAGGCACATTTATAAGGGATTAATTTCTTTTCAGCATCAGAATAATTCTCAAATTGCGACAGTAAAGTAAAGAATGCACAACTTCTAATTATAAAAACACTTTGAAATTCTACAGACCTCTACATAAAATCAAGGCTAACTTTAAGCAACTGAAAACTAGAAACTAGAGTATTTTAAAATTCAAATGCACTGCAAGAAATTGCAAGCTCTACAACACTGCCATGAATAGTACAGTAAACACATTTTGATACACTTCATTTTTATAGTAAAACTATGAATAAACCCTTAAGTTATTTTCTAAATACTCGTACCTGCATTAGGTCTTTATGTTCTTCTTTGATACCATCTTTTAATAATTCTCTTAGTTGACTACGACAAAAAATATTGAATTTTTAGTTTTTTGTTTACTACAGCTCCCGGGAGGAGGGGGAGGGTGTACTCCCTTTGTCCAAGTGGTAGGGATGATTGGCAGCCAATTTTGAAAGTGACACCCAAAAGGTATGCATAAATTAAAAGAGCTGTTATTATATAGCTCTTTATATAGCAACTAGTGTATAGAGTTGGTCAAAATGACTGGAAAAGCAAAGATTTGACCAAGAGACAAGTTTCAATTCTAGGTAGACATTGTCCTATAACCAGTCATTATTTTAGGCCCTGGACTTCTTTACCTATCATAATGTTCACCTATGACCTCTTCTACTGCTACTGTACATGCCATGGCTGCTTCTTTGCCTAATAATGCTGTTCCAGCACCTTAAAATGGAAGGAAGATTTAGCTTAGTTTGTAAGCGCAGCTATATAAACACTTCAGGTTCAATCTTGGACATAAGGAACTACATACACAAGAATGATTGACAGCCTAATGGTGAGAGCACTGGCCTTTCAATAATGCAGAGTTAATTACCTTACCCAGTAAAAATGTAGTGTTAAAGAAGCTGAATGCTACTACTTACCAAGTAGAAAGCCTGCGACATTCCATGCTGGTGTTAAAAACGTTGGCCTAACCCTTCTACTTGATATAAGCTCCTCAAATTTTTCTAAGTGTTCTTTTTCTTGATCCCACATTTCCTAGTGAATGAAGATATTACAAACTTAAGAAAATAGTTTAGCATCATTAAAACCAATTACCATCAGTGGCTTTCCAAAAGTCAAAAAGCTGGGGGGAGGGGTGGATGCATTTTGGTTCAAAATTTCATTCCAAAACCACAGGAATTCCATCACAATACATAAACCATGAAGCAATCTGTTAAGTCACACAGGACCTTTCTGTTATCCTAAGGATATAAGATTTCTCAAAAATTATGATTTTTCTGGTAAGAACCATTACATAAAATCCTAAATTTTGAGAGATAAGATCTGCAATGAGATCAAYCCTGAATGTCCAGCATTAATACATAACTTGGTTCCCCCCTCCCGCTCCCTATACACAACAATGACAAGCAGGGTGAGTTGGAATTTGAATGGGAAGTATGACTTGAGTCTGTCATGGTCTGTTAAGTTTTATATAAATTATTGCATTGAATCTACGAAGGTTTACAAGTATATTAGAGTCATCATCATGAAATGATTCACCACCTTCCATACATCAATTCATTCAATGGTCAAACACAAAGCATAATTTAAAAGAGGCTTCAAAATAGTTTCATAGCTGTATTGGACTTTGAAATTAATTCAGTTATACTACAATTTGTCAAACAAATCTCAGACCACCTTCCTTCAGGCTATTGGGAAAAACGGGTGGCGTAGCGGTCGCCTCCCACCAATGCGACCCGGGTTCGAGTCCCGCTGAGCTTGGTGTCGTATGTGAGTAGAGTTGTTTGTTGGTTCTCTCCTGTGATTCGAGGGTTTTCCGGGTTCCCCGGCTTTCCTCCCTCCACAAAAATCAACTCCTAAATTCCCATTGGAATTACATTAGTGGATGAATAGCTACTCTGTAGAAATGTCACTGCTAAATCCCATTTATTTTTTTATTTATCTATTACATAATGCTCTAATATACCTTGATGACAGGACCCACACTCGTGTTCTTGAGTACGGCATACTGTCCTGCGTAAATACGGTCAGCTCCAAGCTCCCCTGCATGGTCTACACGAATTATTCTGTCGATATTTTTATCAGCTCTTTTTGTAGAAGCTTTTTTTACTCGAGGATATGAGCACAAACTTTGCCGACAAACTGAAAACCTTCGCATGTGAGCCGCCATCTTGGAATTACGACGACTAAAATGCATCATGGGATATCAGTTCCATTGCGAGGAACGCCTGACAGGTTTGATTGTTATTGTTTTGGTTTTTAATTTTTCGCGGCAAAAGTTTATTTCACTCTTTAATTCTATTCTAAAAAACATCAAGTTCATTTAAATGAATGTCTTTTCAATTAGTTTCATCCTATTAAGATGATTTTTGAAAATTCTTCTACTTTGATCTAAGAAATCAAGAACGATTTTAGGTCTTTAAAAATTAGATCTATAAATTTGAACGGCATCTTTTACGCCACCTCGAATTTTGAAACAAAACAAAACAAAAAAATAATTTGTGACATGTTGATCAAATGATTTTATTATATATTTACCATCAGAAAGGTGACAACGGATAATCAAAACTATCAAAAAGCCTAATGGATTGCTATTTATAAGTCCGCTAAGCGAATTTTCTGAAAATCACGTCATTTCAATACAAGTCATGACAACTAATAGGTACCCAAGTCAAAATCCAGTTTGGTTTACATTGTAACTGTAAACAACACCATGTTAAAAACACAACGAACAATGTTGTTTTTCTTTCTGATGTGTTTCTGTTTCGTGGCGAGTGGAAGAAAGCCAATCGTTGAGTTCCGTGGCGATAAAGATGTTCGAACCAATCGACCGATCATTGGTAGGTTCATTCTTCGTACCATTTATGTAATCCCCGCCTCGAAGAAACCCTTGCCACTTGATCCAGGTTTATTCAGTTTTCTTTGCATTTAATTTGGAATGCTGTTATGTCTCTATTGATTTGGGCTTTGTTTTCTTCGTTTAAAATAACAATAACATTATCAAAAGGTCATAACCCTAACATTAACTTTGCCAGGTATTTTATATTTCTCTCTTTCTTCTTACCGTTTTTTCCTTCAATCTGAAAGCTATAAGTAATTCCTAATAACTACCATTCCAAATCCTTTTTTTTTTTAAACTACCAGGGGGAATGCTATCGTAAAGAAATATGACTGAACTATTTTTTGGAACCAATTTTAATTAAGATAATTATGTAGTGGGAGAGTGGGATGGTTCCGAGAAGTCATTATTAATTGACATTTGCAGGTATCCTAGCACAAGATGATTCTGGTCTGTCAAATTTAACGACATTTGGAGAAAGTTACATTGCTACATCGTATGTCAAATACCTGGAAGCTGCAGGAGCAAGGGTTATCCCAATAAGGTAAAAAATAACATTACTTAGTGGTCAAAACATTGTTTGTGAGACATTCATTTTAATATACTTACTGGTAAATATAGAAAGCAGAATTATAGTTTTGGAATTCTTTTTGAAAAGTACATTTTTTTCTTTAGAAATAATGAAACTGAAAAGCAGTTGACAGAATTATTTAATTCCATTAATGGGTAAGTAACGCAAGTGATGATGATGATGATAATGATGGTGGTTGTGGTAGTAATGATGATGATGATCATAGTGTTGATGATGATTGTGGTGGTGATGATAATAATGGTGGTGATGATGAAGATGATTGTGGTTTAGTTGTGGTAATGATGATGATGGTCATGGTGTTGACGATGATGATGGTGATGATGATGATGGTGGTGGTGGTGATGATAATGATAGTGATGATGATAATGATGATGGTGGTGGTGATGATGAAGATGATGGTTGTGGTGGGGATGATGATGGTAATGCTTACTAGATATAACAATATTGTCATTACACATATGAATACCATTTTTTAAAACATTGTCTCATCATTTGTAAGGGTCTTGTTTCCTGGAGGAGCAGCAGATTTGTTTAAATCAAAATATGCAAGAACAGCAAAAATAATCTTTGACTTGGCAGTTAAGGTAACAAACTTGCACTTTTGAATGTTCTAAGATCTTAGAATGTCAAAGAGGAAAAGTAACCATAATATTCTCGTAATTAATGGTGTTTCACTGATCTTTTAGGCCAATGACAAGGGTGATCATTTTCCAATATGGGCAACATGTCTTGGCTTTGAGTTACTGCACACAATGGTTGCAAATGGGAAGCATATACGTCAAAAATGTGATGCTGAAAACCTTCCAATTCCAGTCAACTTTAGAAAAGGTATGGTTATCATCACATCTTTTTTGTTTTATATAGTATTCAGGTTAGTGAGAGATCTAAGAAATTTATAATATTTAGAGTGGAGTGAAGCTAAGTAGTTTTAGTCTCACAATGACCTTTCAAAAGTAGGATAAGGCCTACGTTRGAAATAAAAAATAGCAATGGTTTATAACTTTGCTAATAAATTCGTATGCCACATAATATTTGATTTATTAAATTCTTAATTGAAAGATTTCAGGGAAAGTAGATTGTTCCGTTCTGCACCAGACAAGGTTGTAGACTACCTTGGTACACTGAATATTACTATGAACATGCATAAAGGGTGCATCACTCTCAAGGTAATCTTGATTCTTTCTTATATCCATATACACGAGGGTCTGTGAATGCATGTGATGACCAAGAAAACCATGGGCAGGTGCCATGGTGTAGCAATTGATGGTCCCAACTCCCCTTAGCTACTGTTTCTATGTCCCAGAAAGCTTTACAAATTAGTTAAGTAGAATATTGTYAATATTTAAAACTTTGATCATGAAAATATGTCTGTCCTGTGAAAAAAAATTAAAGGAGATTGCCTTGATCCCTGTAGTACTCTTTAAAACAGACCTTATATGTGGGACAAGATTTTAATTCACTGGGAAAACTGCTGCAACATTGATTGGCTTCCTTAGTATTGTCAGACTCAGAAACATGAATTAGAGCATTGACACCTATCACCAACAGTAATGCACCACAAGTTCAAATTTGAAAGCTGTGTCATCTATGAGCAAAGTTGGTTGTTGGTTATTTTGTCTCTTGGGTCTCAAGAGGTTTTTTAGGTTCATCAGTAATCTTAACTAGGTACATAGGTTTGGAATGTGAGATAAAAAAATTTAAAAAATTGAAACTTTGCTTTTAGAAATTTAATAAAGAAAAGACCTTGAGGAACTTTTTTAGAATCATATCAACAAATATGGACAGAAAGAATGAAGTGGAATTTGTATCTATGGATGAAGGTAAGTGAATCAGGCCAACGATTTACATTTTTCTGCTCTAGACTTGTTAATTAAGGGTTCACAGGACCCTCAGATTTTTACTTCATGTTTTCCACAGCAATCAATTATCCCTTCTATGGCTCGCAGTGGCACCCAGAAAAGAACCAGTTTGAATGGACATTAGAAGAAGACATTAACCACTCATACCAAGCRGTAGTGACTACACAGTACTTAGCAAACTTCTTCGTCAATCAGGGTGAGAGTTAAAGTGACTAATATTAGCCCTCTTTTACTTGAGGCCACCTGAATATTATCAGTCTGGTAATAGTGTACCTTAATTGTCTAATAAGGTTGTTATTATTATTGATGACTTATCCTCATCCTCCTCCTGTCTATTCCAAAACATACCAACATCCTCTGGGATTGTGTGTTTGTCTGGAGGGGGGGAGGGGTGGAGATCATATCTGGCAGTGCATTTTGGGGCTGCTTTAGGGGTGGAAATATATGCCATCTTGGGAATATGTCCCCTAAAACAGCTCCCACCATGCACTACAATACCAACAGGACCCAGTTTTTCTGCTGAACATCAGAATGGCTAATATTCAAGTGTTTCAAGAGAAGTCATCCTATAATTAATAATTATTTTAAATTAATATAATTTTATCATTTTTAGCACGTATGAGTGGACACAAATTTCAAAGCTACAAGGCAGAACRCAAAGCTCTAATATTCCAATATGAAGCCAAACCATGTCGGGAAGATGTTACTCACTTTGACGAATGCTACTTCTTCTAGTTTAAGTTTTGTTTTGTATACTTGCATGCCAGCMGAGTTGATTTTCTTACGATATGAAAGAAATAGTTAGTTTGAATAGGAAATTTTTCAATACTAGGATTACTGTTGTAATTTGATTATTCATGATAAATGATATAAATAAAGAAGAATTTATTGTTCTAAGAAATGCATTACTCAGACTATATAACATGATACAGAAATACGAAGGATTAATAATGATAACAATGGAGGAACTGATGACAATAATGATGATGGTGGTGGTGGTGGTGGTGGTGGTGGTGAAGATGATAATGATAGTGGTGATGATGATGGCGATGGTGAAGGTGATAATGATGGTGGTGGTGGTGATGATGATAATGATGGTGGTGCTGATGATGGTGGTAATGCTAGATGTTTGGAAATGAGAAAATATACCAGCCAAGCTGCACAAAAAACAGCTATTAATATTGGAATTTGAAACATGTTGTTTAGATAAGGATGAAAATGATGATGATAATATGCTGGTAGCACAGCTGAATTTTGGTAATAATATAATAAGGAAAATGAAGACAAAATGATAATCAAAACACCAACAGATATTAATAGAAATAATTAAAAAACTATAAATACCCAATATCCCCAGTACATTGTAAAGATTTCTCTATACCAGCTACACAGACTCCATAACTATGGGCTTCAAAACAGGAATATCAAATATCATCCAATACAATCCAGAATTATAAGAAATTCAAATTTTAATCAAATACTACTTTGAGAAATGTCTACAATCTTTAGTTATTACAATCTTTATCCATTATYAATTCATTAATTATAGGAATTAAGTTTTTATCTATTCTAATATTATTATAATTTATAATGCACAACTGATTTGTGAAGCCCTGAAGACAGATACTATCAAAGGCAAACATGAAGTAACCCTAAACCTCCAATAGCCAGGGTCTTAGAGCAATGATAAAGAACAATAGAATCACAGAAACGCAAGACCACAAGAAAATTTAAGAAATATGAGCAAAGTTGTTCAAAGCTGGTTTCACATTAACCCTGAAGTAGGTATTAATAATAACAAACTGGATCATTGTTGTTTTTAATTGGTATTCTAATCAGGATTAATGCTAACAAGCCTTGAAAAACGTATGCCAGCAAAATATACAGCAAATATAATCAGCAAATTGAAAACAAGCATATATATCAAAAAATGTGGAAAGTGCACTGACTTGCAGATAAAGAAAGTCATTATGATAGCAATTATTGAATTTAAAAAAACAAGGTTTAACATTCTTTAAATTCATAAGTTCAAGCAAACGTTCTTCAAGGGCTTTAGCTGAAAAACTTCATATTATATCAAAGATGATAGATTGAAACTCTGTCTTAAAGCACAGGTCAATTCTCCCAGATCTTGGATTATTCACTAATTATTTTTGTCTCATATAAATAATTAAGACAACAAGTGCAAGAGTTAAAATTCAACAATAAATAATACAAAATTGGCTTTTTTCAATAAAAAATTGCATGAACATTTAGGCCTAGAATAGTAGAGTACAGCAATTCATTTACAGCATTAGGCTAATCACAACCCACATAGTATGGTAAGGTGTTGGTAAGGTGTTGGTAAGTGGTTGGTAAGTGGTTGGTAAGTGGTTGGTAAGTGGTTG